TTATGGGGTAGCTGAAAGGGAATAGATTTCAATTAACATTACGCCGTGATTCGTAACGCCTTCTTAATGTATAGTTTAAATTGAAATTTAAAATGTCGCATGTTTCTATTAATTAAAACTCAGATTCTTTTTAAAAACATCAGATGTATTCTAATTAATTTACGGCAGTTGGTAATATTTTTAACTATATTAAAAATGGAAATTGCTACTGTTTATTTGGATAAAGTAAGTGAATATTTATTAAACGAAGTCCTTTATTCAAATACGAGATAAGAATCTCTTTAGAGAGCGAATAACGACGGTAACTCTAACCAACTCACTTAAGACTTCACAAACGAAAAGAAAGATAGCGAAAAAGGGAATATTCTTTTAGGAATTTAAATAAAGTCGAGCAAAGGGAGAGCGAGCTCCCGTTACTTAAAGAAAAACGAGAACTAATAAAAATGCCAAAATAAAAACGGGCAATTTTAAAGCTGTTACAAATAGATATAAATCCCTTATTTAAATTCAGTTCCGTATAACAAATATTGCAATAAGGAGGGTCGCAGTGAATACGAAATGTCTAGTTAAAGTATTCTTCTGATTTTGTATATTTTTATTAATGTTGACGTCTTGAGCGGTGTTAATTACAAACTGCTTACAATAACAAACATAGCCTTGAGCAATTAACTTCCTAGAGAAATAAATTAATGAATTAGACGATAGTAACCTTCAATTGTTTTTATGTTAAAACTGAAAAGATAAGTATCCTTTGAAATTGTATTTGCAGAAAAAACGCGACTTCTCATCCTAATGAAATCCTCAATAAGCACCGTCCCTAACGGAAACAATAAGCATCTTCCCAACAGACCCCTTAGTTTAAGTTCCCTGAGAACGACGGTGACGACACAACTCACAGAAAATCAGGGACATTCAATTTGTTTCCAAATTCTAGAGGTAAATACATTTTTCTTTGTTGTAAGTAAGTTATCTTTATTACCATATTTGAACATTACCGATGTACAAAATACATTGGCGACTATATTATTCCATATGAAAAAGATGCGATAAAAATATTTTTACGCGTATTTTACGCTACGTGTTATATCTAAATTATGTACTTAAAAAGATTGATTATTTTAATAAATTATTCACGTAAACATAAATAAAAACAAGCAATTGTACAATATCCATATGTATGGTCACCGTGGGAGAAACGAGGATTGAATTGCGAAATCTATCTATTAGATCACAATGATGCCTACTTCAAGGCAAAGGAAAACTTTACTACTTCAATAGAAACCTTATCAACTTTTACTTCTCCCATTGGCACAAATTCTTAAAGCAACATTGAGGTCGGTTAACCTCATCACTCCTAGGTTAGGTTACTAATGAAAAATCTTGGTGTAGATTTAGCACCAATTTTTAGGGTACAATAAATTACTGCGTATTTAGATGAACGGTTAATTATGCCAGAAAGATTTTTTCTAAGAACATTATTAACTAGCATTTTCTCGCGACTTAAATTGCAGAATTGAATAATCTGGTAAAAAAATAATATAACCTATGTCACTTAGGCATAATGTAGTTTTTTACTGGTCAGAGAATTTTTGAATTTAGTAACAAAAATACAAACGGTTTCCCTTATATTAAGACATTTTACTTCTTACTAGTATTATAAATGCGAAAGTTTAGATGGACAAATGTATGGATGGATGTTTGTTAGAGTTTGTAGATTAAACTGTTGAATGGATTTCAGTGTCATTTGGCATAGATGTAGAGGACAGGGATCTACTAGAACACATTGGTTACTTCCTTTTTTTAAATTCCACGCGGGCGTAATTCAATAATAAATAATCTCGATTTTAGCTGTTTCGATTATTTTTTTTATTATTACCAACCGTCAATCCGCCCTGTCCCTACGTGACGACAGATGAGAATAAAAAGTTTCATCCGTCCCACCCACAGGGTGACGGTTCGGAATATTCCATTTCTTTTATCTAAGCGTAACTGACATATTTTAATACTTTCCCTTCAAACGTACTTATCTAAGGATTACAATGAACTAGGAAGTTGTCTTACTTGGAATTGAAAAATTGGAATAGTCATATATGGTGAATAAATGCAAAAATGATAAAAACAAAATTGTACGTAATATGATCCACGACGAGCTGTGTATTGACAAGGATGTAATATCGCCTCCCTCCGCATTATACCGTAGCAAATAATACTTAAATGCCCACTCATCTTTATATTGCCAATATCGATTTTATACAGAAACTCTTAGTAATGAGACCGTTTAAGCTCAAATCGTGACCAAAATTATCGTTGTATGCAACTTTATTAAGGTCTATTGAGTATAGTATATCAGTCTGTCTCGGAACTTAAAAAAAGTAATAACAAAAAAAAAATAATATGTTATATACTTATAACGTAGATTATAATGGTGTAAGAATTTTTGAGAGCGAGTCAGTAGTATTTGAATAATTAAAATTCATACAGAAATATAAAATTTTCTCTTTATAATATTAGTATAGATATCACTCATAACATTAAAAAAGGTCTAAGCTTTTTAATGAAATGTACATTTAACAAATACCCACAAGACTTATAAGTTGCCTGCAAATTGAAAACATTCACAGACTAAAAATTGCTGAACTAAAATGAAGTTAATAATTTCAACTTCGGATTTTAAAGATATTTTGGATTAAACGTCTATTTTTTATTTACAAGATTAACAAAATTATGAAAGTGAAATATCAATTGAATCCTTTCTGTATGAAAAACTTAAAAATGCGTTTTATATCTTTAAGTAACTAGTTTATACATAACATTTGTGTGACGCGGCCTCCGGCCCTCCGGTCCACCATACCATGATTAGGTAGCGGCCATTCGTCACACGGTCACACAACCATTAATTTCTATAGAAAAATACATTCAAAGCTTTTACAGCACTTTCGATAACATCACAACTACATTAGACCTTTATTTTTCACGTAGTTTTTACCTATAGCTCTGATAAAAGACTGGAATATTTTTATAAGCGCGGGTCATTGCGATTACTTAGTACAACGTAGTTATGATAATTATTTACATGTAGCTTAGGTATTAGTTATGGTATCATTTTCACCAACTATATCTTTAAAAGTCTATTAAACAGGATTTAGGACCTCCAAGTATGAATTTCGTTTTACTAACTTTAAGGTATCGTGTGTAAGTTCATAATTTTATAGTATTTCTATTCCGGGGAGAGAGGTGCTATCAGTTGTTTCCTTAAAATAAACGCCTAAACTAGTCATAAATAACCACAGTTTATTGCCTGTCTATTGATACATGTCAGTGGCCACCGGATCAATAAATTGTCGGTTTATATGTTGGTATCATCATCATCATCATCATCATCATCATCATCATCTCCTTATCCTACTCCCGTAGAGTCGGCGCGTGTTGGTAGCACTTTGAAAAATAAAGTTTTTTACTCTGTGGAAACTTCGTTTAATTCTAAGCACTGGCCTCTATGAATGGACAGGCTTTAAGACATAATTTTGGTGACTATCTGGTTTTCACTTTTTTTGTGCGGGGAAGAGGATTTCCCTTACAAATAATAGAGACAGAATAAACTGTTATTAACGTCAGCAGGCTTGTTTATGTCGGATCGAAGCAAAAGCAAAAGCTGTCATTTCTGTGAAATGACTTATCCATTTATAGAGATCAGTGGTTCTGACAAAGTCATTCATTCAGCTACGTCCTACCCTTCCATTTATTTTGGCCGCTCGTTCTCGTTCATTCTTGTTTCGACGGCCACAATGTTGCCAACGCTCCTGCAATTGCCGTGTTCTGTGGCTTTCAGGCCTTATGATTACAAAACCACAGTCTACAGCCGACACTACGGTATGGTACTAGGGCTTTTTGAAAATCTACAATAAGTAATTGTTTTTGTACTAAATTTAACTAAGCAAAAGCATTCAAAAGAATGCAGAATAATAAAAAGTAATAGCTTTGTACCGTAAGTCTTTAAATTATATGTGCTTAAATATCGAATGATTTTTCTAAAATAAAGAGGGACAACTTCAACGTTGCAAAGTTTTCATTTCTTAAGTAGATAGTGCTTTTTTTTTACAATTCAACAAAAACAACAAATTCAATGTTTCAATGTTCACGGCCGGGTAAAAAGTTTCATTGGCAACTGGCAACACTGTTCGGCCATCGCGCGCTGAACAAACGTCTTTATTGTATTGCATTTCTTTTCACTTGAAATAATATTTTGGCTTACAAAATTCAGGACGTCTTACTAATTATTAAGGTTAACAATTAATACAGAACTTTATACATTGTGTATATAAGTACATTTATAAATACTGTGCTAAAATTCCTAAAGTTTTCTTTATACCGTCTCACAAACTACTTTTAACTTTCATTTTAAAATTGCTTAACGAATGTTTAATGAAACTTTTTGATTTACCTTAATGTTACCAAGACGTTTTATAAACTTTTATCAATTCACGATTTAACGAATAAAAATTGTCGCCATTTTTGCACTGTTTTGCTAAATCGGCCAGATT